CTTTAAGGGATGGTATATTTCCGTCTTTTTGGAAGCAGTGTTTAGTTTCCTATATTTTTAAAGGGGGCAATTGACAAATTGTTTTCAATTACCGCTCAATTTGTAAACAAAACATAATACGTTTCAATTCGTATGAAAATGTACGAAAATGGCTCGATAGCTGCTTCAAAAGAAGAAGTGTTTTTTTGGCGTGACATTCATAAACTGTCGGAGAGGTGGGAAAAATGTATAAATAGCAATGGACATTATTTTGAATAAAATATTTTTTATCATTTTCAAACAACAGACGTGTAATTTTTACAANGTAATTTTAACAAAAATTTTCGGTTTCATACTTCTACGCTTGGTATATATATGGTCATTATTATTTAAGTTTTATGTAAAATATTATATAAGAAAATATATTTTATAAGAATAGTTCCTTATTATTTCACATAAATTTAATCTATGATTAAAAAGTTAATCATGAAAAATGTAGACACATATACAAGTGCGCGCGCACGCAGCAGACTTTGTAACCCGTCATTTTTGCAATATTTTATAACACCTATCTGCACTTTGCACCCGTATGTGTAATTGGTTGCCAATGTAATCATGTCTAATAATATTCGACTCCAACCTAAACAGTAAGAAATCGTTTAAGAGGAGAGGGATTTCTCACTCGTCGATTAATACAGATTCTTTGTATAAAGTTGTATCGTTCAAGGAAGCAATTACAATAACAAGACGTCTTTTTCAAAGTCATATTTTCAAAGATNGTTTGTAGGTCAAGATAATTTTTTTTAATACAACTACGTTTTTTTCTTGTTTGCGAAAAATTATAGCTGTCATCGTAGGAGTTCAATGGCCTATAACAACATGATCTTTAACCTTTTAGGTACGACGCGCCACTATAGTGGCTTTTGCGGATATCATCTTTCAGCACCTTTTAGGTACGACGCGCCACTATAGTAGCTTTCGCGAATGTTATCTTTGAACGATGGGGAAACGACAAGAAAATACGGGGATATGAACAATAACGTTAGCTGCAATAAATATACCGTTGACCAACCGTTTATACTGACCGAAAAACATTTTCCATCCTACTGCAAATCTAAAAATTCTAAAAAAGCGTTACGAAATTGTATAGTGTGTTCGAAAAACGATACAAGGCGAAGATCTCGTTATGAATGTGAAAATTGTGTCGTAGGTTTATGTGTTGTACCATGTTTCAAAATATATCATACTCAATTATATTATTAATTATTAAAGTGAATTGTTAAAGTTAAAGTATGTGTAATATATATTAATATAATATATTTTTTTTTTAAATTATGATTTAATCATCAAATACTTCATTTGAATGTACTCGTGCACAGAACGGCATTGCCCGTCACACTTTGCAGTGTTGTATTGTTTATACATCGTTCACGTCAGACTCTGCCGTCCAGGGAAATAGCCACACGCAGAATTCAGCTGTACCTAAAAGGCTAAATTATCTTGAAAATTATAAATTACGTATGTTTGTTGGAAACAAAAAAGTCAAACTTTTATCCTTTTCAGCGCAAGAATTTATTTAACGAAGTGTTTAAAATGATGTCCTCTGATTTCAATGCATTTTTGAATAAATGATACTCGTGTTCCTTCTATCATTTCGGAATTTATATTCGCACATGCACTCAAAATGCATTCGTAATCGGTATATCGTTATGAACAATATTTTTCAGTATTCCCCACAAGAAAGTCTAGAAGATTTAAATCAGGAAAAAACGTGCAGGCCAACGGTTGTGTGCTCCTCTTCATTTCCAGAAACATTTCTTCTTGTTCTAAAAACATTTTGTGCAAAACCACATGTGTAACGCGTACATAGTGTTTTGGCTAGATGAAGTATCCGGAAAGTTTTGTTTCGTTGGACTCGTTGTCTGAGTAAATAATATAGAATTCCCTTGCAAATACACAGAATAATGATGAGGATAAATATATTTAGCCAGAAATTGGGAGCGGTCTGCATACCTAGAAATGAAAAATTCGAAATCTATATTCTANTCCGGAAAGATTTGTTTCGTTGGACTTGTTGTCTGAGTAAATAATATAGAATTCCCTTGCAAATACACAGAATAATGACGAGGATAAATATATTTAGCCAGAAATTGGGAGCGGTCTGCATACCTAGAAACGAAAAATTCGAAATTTATCTTCTATATAGCCGTAAAATACGAGGTGTGTTCAGAAAATAGCGGGAATTTTTAAATTTTGCGGATTTGGAGAGTCCGATCGTCAAAATTTTTTTTTATTATGTTGGTATACATGCCCCTGAAGTATGATAAAATTTTCAGCTGTATTCATTGTTTACTTTGTCTGTGGCAGCTGCTAAGGTTAGACGTGTTTTTATGAGCTCGGCGACTTTTGTTTGTTGAAAAAAATGGATCAAAGAATTTGTATCAAATTTTGCGTAAAAAATGAAATAAAGTGTAACGAAGTGTGTGAAATGTTAACAAAGGACTATGGTGAGTCTGCTATGAGTAAAACAAGAGTTTACGAGTGGTATAAGCGTTTCTAAGATGAGGCATTCTGGCTCGCCAAGACCGAAAAAGGCTCGACAAGTGCGGTCGAACGTGAAGGTTATGCTCACTTTGTTCTTCGATTTTAATGGCATAGTGCATCATGAATTCTTGCCACGAGGTCAAACGGTCCATAAGGAGTGCTACCTACAAGTTCAACGCCGTTTGCGTTAAGCAATCCGAAAAAACGCCCGGATTTGTGGAAAAACAATTCATGGCTTTTGCATCACGATAATGCACCTGCTCACACTTCATTGCTTGTTCGTGAATTTTTGGCCAAAAACAATACTGTAACGATACCCCAGCCTCCATATTCGCCAGACATGGCTCCGTGTGACTTTTTCCTATTTCCAAAAATAAAGAGAACCTTAAAGGGCCGTCGTTTTACACGCATAGATGACATTAAAAGCGCATCACTGAAAGAGCTAAAGGCTATCCCAAAGATCGAGATTGAGAAGTGTTTCGAGGATTGGAAGAAGCGCTGGCACAAGTGCATAATATCTAATGGGGACTATTTTGAAGGCGACAACATTAACCCTTTTCCTCCCACATAACACAAATTTCTTTTAAACTTTCAACCTTATATCTTTTAATGAAAAAATCATATGAAAATTTATCAAACATCATTTCTTATAGATTTTGACCTCCTCTTTCGAATGCCGTTGAAAAATTTTACCCAAATTGTAAGCCGGAAAAGTTATAGGCCGTCTTTCCGAAAAATTCACAAATTTTTCACGGTTCTTCTTTCAATGTTTATTTTGAGTTGGGAAAAATTTGCACACGCCATCGCAATCACTATAAACGGTGTTACAGATGCCTGCTCTTTCAAACCCAGTTGGATTTTTTTCAAAATTCAAAATGTCGGACACAAAATGACGTCCGAAAGGAAAATTTTTTTGTTTCAATTTTGCGAATTTTTCTCTCAAAAACTATTAAGTTTGGTGAAAAATTCCTAAGAACAAAAATGTCTTAAAATCAGTCAAAAAATACTCTCAAATTTTTTCAGGACGGTTTTACAACATTTTTGAAAACTTCTATTTTTTGCCTCTTCAAAAGAACTAAAAATTACACAGGGCCGCAAAATGAAAAAGGGGTGGAGCATTACGGAGCTCAGCATACCTTTATGTTTTTTGGGTTGCAGATCACGATGCCGGTGTCCGTTTGTCCCCAGCACGTCTGTGTCAAGGTCAAATGAAGGTCAAACACCTTAGATGGGGTTGTACAATTTTTTTGACCCCGGATTCTGAAAGCGCAGAAAATTCTACGTCCGAATATGCTTTGATTTTTAGGCCAAAGTGACCTCCGGAGGTCATTTAGAGGTCATCTGAATGTCGAATCCTTCCCTTGATGCTCTCGACTAATTCTTCGATTAATAGCCGATCTCGAGCCAGTTGACTTTTACGTTCTTTTACGGACAAACGGACACCGGCATCGTGATCTGCGACCCGAAAAACATAAAGGTATGCTGAGCTCCGTAATGCTCCACCCCTTTTTCATTTTGTGGCCCTGTGTTATCTTTAAAAATTCTGAAAAATTTTGAGAGTATTCTTCGATTGATTCTAAGACATTTTTGTCCTCAGAAAATTTTTACCAAACCCCATAGTTTATGAGAAATCGTTAAATATTCAATTTCGTAAATGTTTTGTAATTTTTTTCTTACTAAGTTCTTTCAGTCGTTAGATTTTCAGTTTTATAAATACTAT